CCCACGCCGTTGAGCAGTTGCAGCAAGCGGAACTGCCTGACAAGCTCCACATCAAGCAGCTTGGTGTTATTGACTGGCGCAGTCGGCACACAGCTGATCTGGAGAGGGTGCACGGTGATATTGGGGCGCCCATGCGTCTTGCACTCCCATACCGGCAACGTGAGCCTGCCCACCACGCCGAGCGGCCCATAAAACACAGCTGCCTGGCTGCCCGTCTTGTGCAACTCACAGCAGCTGCCATTTTCTGCTGCTAAGTGGCAAGGAAGCGGCTCCATGCTGGCCAGCTGGGCTTGCCGCTGCTGGAGCTGCTGCTGGCGCTCCTGCCGCTGCTGCGCCGCCCGGCCCGGCAGAGAGGCCAAGAAGGCATCCACGTCCGCTCCGAGCCGAGCCTCCCAGTGATCACGTTTGCGTCCTTGCCGGTCGCCCCAGCCTAAGAAGCCGCTGGGTGCTCGCTCATCCTCGTTGTCATCCCTCTCACCCCGCCGCCTGGCCTGCCCTGGCACATTGAAGGGAGCTTGTTGTCCTGGTCTACTTGCACGGGATCTTTTTGGCTGTGGCCCGTCTAGAGGCCTGGGGGCCGTGGTCTTGCTAACCACCTTCACCCTAAAGTGGTGGCTCATGTCCTAGAAAGCATATTACGGTTGCTGGGATGCCAACAGAACAAACGGGAGGGAGAATGATGCATGATTGAGGATGATGTCCCCAATGACCCTCCAGGTGGGGGGCCATCATGCCCATCATGGGGCACATCCTTACCGGGAGGCCTACCTGGAGCAGCTGCTGGAATATAGTTTGTCTGTTTTCACAGCGCCCGCCGGTAGGGTTCAGTTCATGCGACGCAGCGGCACACATCCAAAGGCCGTTCGCACTACTCTTCAAGCCCCAAGCACCGCTTTGTCTTGTAAATTACATGGCATCACAAGTTTGAGAGCTAGGGACTCCCAGCGTGCTCCACTCTCGCTTCTGGCTCCGACTTGATTGTGCACTGGGCGATGGCCAAGCCTGGGCAGACAGAGCCCAACGGGATGGTGGCAGTGAAGGAGTGCACCCACTGCGGCTCGCTGCAGCCTGGGCCCGCCGGCACCAAGTATGGCTGGCGGCGCCACCCCGACAGCAAGCGGCTGCTATGCGGCGTCTGTGGCAGCTATTCCAACAGGAACGGCGGCGAGCTGCCTGAGCTGCTGGAGAAGGAGCAGCAAGAGGAGAGAGAGGAGGAGGAGGAGCCAGATGTGGCCGACGCTGTGAAGCAGTGCAGCCACTGCGGCTCCCTGCGGCCTGGGCCAACTGCATACTTATGGCGGCGACACCCCACGAGCAAGGCACAGCTGTGTGGCCCCTGCGGCCGCTTTGCCTACACGCACGACGGCGAGCTGCCAGAGCTTCTGGCCACGGAGGAGCAGCAGCCCGATCAGCAGCATGAAGATGATGATGAGGAGCAGCAGCAGCAGCAACCATCGCAGCGGCAGTGCCTGCAGTGCGGCAGCACCAGCAAAGGTAGCACCAAGACGGCAAGGTGGCACCGCCACCCTGCCACAGGGGAGGAGTGGCTGTGCCAGCCCTGTTTCAGCGGCGCGCGGGCAGCCTTGAAGCGGCAGAAGCGGCAGGCGAAGAAGCAGCCTCAGCAGGAGGTGGAGAGCGAGGTGGATCCAGAGGAAGAGGAGGCGGAGGGAGAAGAGCAGAGCGAGGAGGAGCAGCCGCAGCAGCAGCCCCAGCAGCGCCAGTGCCTGCAGTGCGGCAGCACCAGCAAAGGCAGCACCAAATCGGCAGGCTGGCACCGCCACCCCGCCACAGGGGAGGAGTGGATGTGCCAGCCCTGCTTCAGTGAGGCGCGGGCAGCCCTCCTGCGGCAGCAGCGGCAGGCGGAGAAGCAGCCTCAGCAGCACGAGGAGAACGAGCAGCAGGAGCCAGAAGTCGCAGCCGCTGTGAGGCAGTGCACCCACTGCGGCGCACTGCAGCCTGGGCCCACCGGCACCAAGTACCAGTGGCGGCGGCACCCTACCACCCGCTTGCAGCTGTGTGCCCCTGCGGCCGCCACGCCGACAGGCACGGCGGCAGGCTGCCGGAGCTGCTGGAGGAGGATCAGGAGCAGGAGGGGGAGGAGGAGGAGGTGGAGGAGAAGGAGCAGCTGCTGTGCAGCCATTGCGGCGATGACCGGCCTGGCCCCACCCCCACCTACCCCTGGCGCAAGCACCACTCCACCGGTGCACGGCTGTGCAAGGAGTGCTGGTTGTACCAGCGCAAGCACGACGGCTTCCTGCCGGAGCTGCCGCACCAGGAGCCAGGCTCGGCATCGATGGCGCCGCTTGTGGCGGCAGCAGCGCAGGCAGCGGCAGCAGCGACGCCTGCTGGCAGGCAGCGTGGCCGTCGTCAGTCTCGTGCTGACGCATCCGAGGATGCGGCCGCAGCTGCGCAGGTGGCCTCCCCCCGCCCGCAGACCACAAGGCGCCAGCAGGCTGGGGCAGCAGGGCCTGCCGCTGTGCCTGGCGGCAGCCGCAGGCATGGCCGCCCCCCGAAGCGCAAGCTGCTGCCAGGCGATGAAGGCCTGCCGCCCCCAGCGAAGCAGCTGCACCGGCACCAGGCACAGGCCCCAGCTGGGGCAGCTGAGTCCCCAGCAGCTGCTGAGAAGGGCCACCTGGACCTGCTGGACCTGCTCGTGGAGGCCTCCAACCTGCCGGCAGCCGCTGCCGCGGGCCTGGGCGGCGAGCTGGTGGGCGGCTTCTGGGCGCTGATGCTGACGCTGTCGCCGGAGCAGCAGGCGGCGCGGGTGGGTGCCTGCCGCAACGTGATCCGGAAGTGTGCATGCTTGACGTGCACTAGGCCTGGGCCATGTTGAGATTCACTGCCTTCGAGATGTGGATGTAGTCCATCAGCCGGTGGTGTGTGTTTTCTGCCCTCCCCGGGTGCCTGCAGGAGGCCCCCCTGCGGCGGATGCTGGGCCAGGGCAACTTTGGGGTAGCGGCTGGGATGATGCAGACTGGGCTGCGCCTGGGGGGCGCCGCCTGATTGTCTGCTTCTTTGGTGGCAGCATCCATGCAGTGACTTGTCTTGTATAGGCAAACCCCTTTGGCCCTAGCATATCCTGGCATGCATGGTGAATCCATCGTCATTGCAAGACCCAAGAGTTTGTTGTTGTTTGCACTGTTGCACTTGCACTACATGGAGAAGGTTAACCTGCTGGATGTGTGAATATACGTGTGTCAGCTCAGTGGCACAGTGGAAAGGCGGTCTAGTCAATGGGGGCGGCGGCGCGCCAGGTGGGAGCCACAGCGCAGCATATGTGCGCCACCTCCTGACGCCCCTAATGGCGTTGTCCGCTCAAATTTTGCCAGCGTGGTTGCGACCAAGCCACACCAGGGCAAAGCGGCTTTGCCCGCCGAACCCTTCGGAGGATCGTGCCACCGCGGGAGCGCCGGCAGGGCTCTAAGGCCGTTCCAGAGGCGGCAGGCGCTAGGAGAAGCCCGGCAAGCACCCGCGCGCGGGGTGCAGCGTCAGCAGCTTGGCGGCGGCCACCGCTCCGTTGTGCCGCCACCGCTCGAAGTGGTGGAGTAGTCAGGCAGGCGAGGGCCTGCTACCAGCAAGCAGTCCTCATGCGCTCGGGCGAGGGCGCATGGGTGGACAATATTCTGGCAGATGGGCCGGCAGACGACATGGCCCCGCTCCCGCCAGAGGGGGCCGTCGAGGCCGGCACTGGCGGCGCCAGCCCAACAGCTGGCGCCCAGGTGCAGCAGCTGGATCAGATTCAGGCGGCGCTGCAGGACCCAGAGTCATTTCCAGAGGCGGCCATCACCGCGGCACTGCAGCACGCAGGTGGGAGGCAGCTTTCGTGCATCCTCGAAACAAGTGCAACAGCAGTGCACTCGTCGTTTCCGCTTTCTTCCACAGACTGCCCGCGCATCAGACGGCCCGCACACCTTTGTTCCTCTTTTTGTGCAGGCGACACCGATGCTGCCCATGCTTACGATGCTGCCCAGCAGGAACAGGGCGACGGCCAGGAGGATGCAGCCTATGCCGACGCCCCTGTCGTGCTGCCCCTCCTGTACAACCCGATGGTTGCGCAGCAGCAGGCCTTTGACGCGCTCGTCATGGGGCCCCTGCTGTCCGCCTACGCGGTGCAAGGCGCGGGCGGGATATCAGGGTCCTTGGCAGCAGGAGGGGTGGGCATCAGCTACATGTTTGGGCCCTCAGCCCCTGCTGCGTGCCCGCAGCCAGCATGGGGCACCATCAAGAGCAGGAGGCAGGCGCAGAGTGCATGCTGGGCAGCACAGGCTCCAGCACCAGCACCTGTAGCAGGCGAGGCTGACGGCTATGTGCTGCCTGTTGTCAGCATGGCTCCAACAGCAGCGTCAGCAGCAGGCGCTATGCAGGGGCATGTGCTGCCTGCTTTTGGTGAGACTTCGACTGAAGCAGCCAGCATCGCAGCAGACGTGGCGCAGGGCCATGTGCTGCCTGATTTTGGCGAGGCAGCGACTAAAGCAGCAGCAGCAGCTGCTGCAGACGCTGTGCAGCAGCATGTGGTGAATGATTGTGGCGAAGCAGCTGCGCCAGAGGAGGTGGAAGAGGGCCACGGGCTGCCTGTTGTTGGTGAGGCTCTGACAGAAACAGCAGAAGCAGTAGCAGCAGCAGAAGTGGCCAAAGGCCATTTGCTGCCTGAGGTTGGCAAGGCTCCAGCAGCAGCAGCAGCAGCAGCAGTAGCAACAGACGTGGCCGAGGTCAATGTTCAGCCTGACTTTGGCGAGGCTCCAGCGGCGGCGGCAGCATCAGCAGCAGAAGTGGCAGAGGGCCCTGTGCCGCACGCTGTTGCGGAGGCTCCGACTGAAACAGCGGCAGCGCCAACAGCTGGCGTGGCCGCGGGCAATGTGCTGCCTGCTGTCGGCGAGGCTCCGACAGAAACACCAGCAGCAGGGGTGGCTGAGTGCCAGTGCCAAGCGCTGCCTGTTGTGGGCGTACCAGCAACCGCAGCCGGCAAGCCGGTGGAGCAATCGGTGCAGGCGCCGAAGCATGGCGGCACCAAGTTCAGGGTGCGCGTCCCCAGCAATGTCAAGCTGGGCGCTGCTGCTGCACCATCCGCCGCGCCACACGGCAGCCGCGGCGTCAGCGAGGCGCCTCCCGGCAGCGGCAAGTATAAGGTCCAGGTCAAGCTGCCGCAGGCGAGTGAAATGTGGGGGTGGGGCAGGGCGTGCCTGCCGGCAGTGCCGGTGGGCAGGTGTTTGGACAGCGAGAGGTGGAGGCCTGGCTGGGGCGCACTGACTTTGTTCCTCAGCTGTCTGACTGGAAGCTTTGCGGCCATATCCTCCTGCAGGCGCGCGATGTCCGCATCGCCGGCTACCAGTCTGAGGCTCTGACTGCCGCCGCTCATGACCACGCCCGTATCTGGTGGGCGCTGCGGCAGCAGCAGCCGGAGGGGCCAGGCACAGCAGCACAGGCAGCCTCGCAGGATCAGGTGCAGGCGGCAGTGCTGGGGCTGCAGGGCGAGCTCAACTTCCCGCCAGTTAAGTTCAGCAGCGATGCGGCTCTGCTGGCCTTGCTGAGCGGTGCCACCAGGCAGCAGCTGGAGGAGCACCTGCAGCCGTTCCGGCTGCAGCAGTGGGAGGCGGCTGCCGGCTCAGCAGGCCAGCAGCAGCGGCAGGCAGGGGTGGGTTCCGCAGCACCTCTGCGCCGGGACAACACCACGCGGTTTGTGGGCGTGGCTCGCATCACTGGCAGCGTCAAGCTTCAGGCCGCCATCACAGGTGCTCGTTGCTGCATACTGCCAGCCTGCGCATGGCCTGCTCATTCGCATGCAAGGCCTGGCTCTGTGTTTTGTGCTGACCTGCCACATCCTTTCTGTTGCCGGCTGACCTGCAGTGGACGGCACCCGGGAGCACCTGGGAGCGTTTGACACGCCGGTGGAGGCTGCGGTGGTGCGTGACATCGGCATCATCTGGAAGCAGCTGCACGGTGGGTGCCGAGGCTGACCTCTCTGCACTCCCACGTGCATCTCTGCACTGCGACTCTAGCTTGGCCGTGGCCTGCCCCACTCACTTCTGCATCCAAGCCCTGCCGCCGCTGCTGCCGCAGGCCTGGCGGGCGACGCCATGCTCAACCTGCCCCACAGCAACCTGGACAAGGATGCGGGGCTGGTGCAGGAGGTGCGTGGCAGTTGGGTTGAAGGACAGCAGACTGTGGTGGGGCCACGGCAGCAGAGAGCATGGACTGCCGCCCATCGTGCCAGACTCTCTGCACACACACGTCCACATGTGAACCGTGTTCCTTGCTGTGCCCCTTGCAGCTGCGCGATGCTGCCAACCCAAAGGCGCTGCGAGCGGTGCTCGTCCGCTGGGTGCCCAACAACCTGCAGGATGTGGTGGCGTGCCTGCCAGGCGCCGAGGCGGGCGGCCAGCGTGCCGTAGGTGAGCAACTCTCCTGCTGCTGCTGCTGATGCCGCCATCCCTTCCTCTGTTGGCCAGCTGTTGGGGCGCTGGCGCCTGCCGTACTTTGAGATGAGTCAGGGCAGCAGCTTGCCTTTCCTGTGCCGCCTCATCCCACCTACTCACCTGCTTATCAATCAAAATCCTCCTCTGCCATGCAGCTGCCAGCCTGGCAGACATCCTTTTGGACAGTGATGGGCCCAATGGCTGCTTCCGTGGTACCAGCAGCGGCGACAGCCTGCAGGCCTTGCAGCAGGCTTGGGAGGAGCCAGGTTGGCAGGAGGACGCCTGCGCTGGACTGGGCATCGATCATGCCAGCGATGCGATGGATGAGGGCGAGGATGAGCTCGGCAGTGGGGAGAGCACAGATGATGCGGGAGTTCAGCGGTGCAGCCATTGCGGCGACAGCCAGAGCACGGGCTACCAGCGGCACCCGTCGAGCGGCAAGCTGCTGTGCGCCAACTGCTTCTCCTACCTCCAGCGCACGGGGCTCGACCGGCCAGCCGACGTGATTCAGGCATACTTTGCCAACCGCGCAGCGGGGCGCAGCACACGCGGCCGCCCGCCCGGCTTGAGTGCCAGCCGTGTGGCGATGGGCACGGCCGCCAGGCCTGCAGCAGGCAGGCGGCGCAAGCAGGAAGAGTTTGCGTCGCTGTCGTCGGATGAGGGCGCTGCCGCAGCAGATGATGAGAGCTCAGAGGAGGAGTCTGACCGGGAGGATTCCTTGTTTGACCTGAACCAGCGCAGGCTGCGCCGCCACCTCGGCCTTCAGCTGCAGCAGCGGCGCCAGCCAGCCGCGCCCTCTGCCCTGGGCGGTGTGCTGCCCAGCCGGCGCAGGTCCTCGGCCGGCGTAGCAGCAGCAGTGGCAGCAGCAGCAGCAAGCGAGGACGAGGAGATCAGCGAGGAGGAGGAGGAGGATCAGCAGCTGGCACCACAGCCGCAGCGGCAGCGGCAGCGACACACGCCGCAGGAGCAGCAGCTGGGAGAGCAGCCAGCCGCTGCCCCACCCGCTGCGGGGCAGTGCACACACTGCGGCGCGCTGCAGCCAGGGCGCCCCGGCACCAAGTACTACTGGCGGCATCATCCCACCACCGGCAAGCAGCTGTGTGCCCGCTGCGGCCGCCATGCCGACAGGCACGGCGGCAGGTTGCCTGCACTGCTGGGGAAGGAGCAGGAGGAGCAGCAGCCGCCGCAGCCCCCGCAGCGCCAGTGCCTGCAGTGCGGCAGCACCAGCAAAGGCAGCGCCATTTGGGCAAGGTGGCACCGCCACCCCGCCACGGGGGAGGAGTGGCTTTGCCAGCCCTGCTACGGAAAGGTGCACACAGCCATCAAACGGCAGCAGCGGCAGGTGGAGAAGCAGGCTCAGCAGGAGGAGAAGAGCGAGGTGGAGCCAGAGGGGGAGGAGCAGAGCGAGGAGGAGGAGGCAGCAGTCGCAGCCGCTGTGCCGCAGTGCACCCACTGCGGCTCCCTGCAGCCTGGTCCCCCCGGCGACACATACATCTGGTGGCAGCACCCCACCAGCAAGGAGCAGCTGTGTGGCCGGTGCTATGGCAACGCCTCCCGGCATGGCGGCGAGCTGCCAGCGCTGTCAGATGCGGAGGGGGAGCAGGAGGAGAGCGAGGAGGAGCAGCAGCCGCAGCAGGAGCAGCAGCCGCAGCAGCAGCCCCCACAGCGCCAGTGCCTGCAGTGTGCCAGCACCAGCAAAGGCGCCTCGTCTGGCTTTTGGCACCGCCACCCCGCCACCGGGGAGGAGTGGCTTTGCCATCCTTGCTACCAGAGGGTGCATGCAGCCATCAAGCGGCAGCAGCGGCAGGCGGAGAAGCAGGCTCAGCAGGAGGAGAAGAGCGAGGTGGAGCCAGAGGGGGAGGAGCAGAGCGAGGAGGAGGAGCCAGCTGCTGCACCTGAACAGGCAGCTGCCCCACCTTCTGTGAAGCAGTGCAGCCATTGCGGCTCGCTGCGGCCTGGGCCAACTGCATCCTACGTATGGCGGCGGCACCCCACCACCCGCAAGCAGCTGTGTGGCCCCTGCGGCCGCTATGCCGAAAGGCACCGCGCCGAGCTGCCAGCGCTGTCGGATGCAGAGTTGGAGGGGGGGCAGGAGGAGAGCGAGGAGGAGGAGGAGCCAGCTGCTGCACCTGCACAGGCAGCTGCCCCACCCACTGCCAGGCAGTGCACCCACTGTGGCTCGCTGCGGCCCGGGCCGCCCGGCACCACGCACCGCTGGCGGCGGCACCCCACCAGCAAGGAGCACCTGTGTGGCCGGTGCTATGGCCACGCCTACCGGCATGGCGGCGAGCTGCCAGCGCTGTCAGATGCGGAGGGGGAGCAGGAGGAGAGTGAGGAGGAGCAGCAGCCGCAGCAGGAGCAGCAGCCGCAGCAGGGCCCGCTGCGCCAGTGCCGGCTGTGCGGCAGCGCCAGCAAAGGCAGCACCAAGGCGGCAGCCTGGCACCGCCACCCCGCCACCGGGGAGGAGTGGCTGTGCCATCCTTGCTTCAACAAGGCGCGGGGAGCATTGAGGCGGCAGCAGCCGCCGCAGCAGGGGGAGAGCGTGGAGGAGGAGGAGCCAGCTGCTGCACCTGCACAGGCAGCTGCCCCACCCACTGCCAGGCAGTGCACACACTGCGGCGCGCTGCGGCCTGGGCCCACCGGCACCAAGTACCAGTGGCGGCGGCACCCCATCACCCGCAAGCAGCTGTGCGGGCCCTGCGGCCGCCATGCCGACAAGCACGGCGGCGAGCTGCCTGAGCCGGATCATGGGGAGGCAGCGGCAGCCATCCCAGCAGGCCAGGCAGGTAGGCGGCGTCGGCGGGAGCCCTCGGATGCAGCAGCAGGCGTAGATGTGGCAGGGGCAGGTCAGCAGCTGACGCCAAAGCGGCACAAGGCACAGGATCAGGGTGTGGCAGCAGCGGCTGCGGCTACAAGGGGCGGGTCGCCCATGTCTGGGCACAGGCGCAGGCGCCGCCAGCAGGAGGAGCAGGCTGCAGACAGCGCTGAAGCTGAGGCTGGCGAGAAGCAGAAGGAGCAGGCTGCTGAGCCTGCGGCCAAGCGGCGGCGCGGCAAGCAGCAGGAGGTCCCCGAGCCGCCAGCAGCTGCAGTGGCCGCTGCGCCTGCCGAGCCAGCTGGGGCGTCCCAGGCTTCTGACAGCGCTGGTGCAACTGGCCGTGGCGGTGGCGAGTGCCGCTGGGTGAATGCCGACAGTACAGGTGAGCCTTTGTCAGCTTGTGTGTCGCTAGCCTCATTTGAGCGATGGTGTCTGATATCCCATGCTTGCACCTAAGGTCTGGGCAGCGCTTGATGCGATGGCTTTCGTGCGCCCGCACAATTCAAGCTGACAGTGCCCGTGCCTCTTGCGCTGCAGCCTTGGATGTGGAAGTGAATGGGACGTGCATCCTCAGCGAGACCCTGGTGCTGCCTGGTGCGCCGTGCTGCACCGAGCTGCATGCAGGCTGGGCTGAGCGTGTGGCACCCTGCACCTGTGCCACTCCCAACGCCGCTAGGGCATCAGCTGACTGTCTGCCCCACGAGCTGTGCCCCCTGCAGCCGCCATGGCCGCCAAGCTGACGGGACTGGAGGCTGGTGGCCATCTGCGCCTGCGAGATGCCAGGACCGCCGACAACAGGAGTGCATGGAATGCCAGCCTGGGTGATGGGAGGATCGAGGGCAAAAGTGGGTGCCGCTGCTAGCTGCCAGTTGCCTGCGCAGCACACTGCTTGGAAACCTGAGCCAGGGCCTGACTGCCAGCAAAAATGCCGAGTTTGCAATATCCATTTTGCCCACTGCCCATCATCCTGCTGCAGAGCTGTTTTCGAAGCTGGATGTGCAGGAGGGCGACCGCCTGCTGCTGCACCGCCAGGCGTCTGCCGCCGCGGCACGTGTCCCGGGTGACAGGCCGCCGCTGCTGGTGGCTGCCAAGGTGGCGCGGGAGGGGCCTGGGGAGCAGGCGCTGCAGCAAGCGCTGGCCGTGGCTGCTGCGGCGGCAGGGGTCAGCGCTCCTGCACCAGTGCCGGCCAGCAACAAAGACACCGGTGTGGCTGCTGATACAGCGGATGCAGGCGCGGCAGCTGACAGCCCGGCACCCATGCTTCAGGAGAACCCGGCAGCTGCTGTGGTCGACGCCAAGCAGCACCAGAAGCAGCTGCCCGTTGCGAGGCACATGTTCTATGCTGCCGCGGCAGCACCAGCCGCCAATGGCAAGAGGCAACAGCCAGACCAGCATGCCACAGCAGCTGCGGGAGGCAGGCAGAAGCAGCAGGCACGTCGCTCCATCGCCAGGCGCATGTTCCGTGCGGCAGCAGCACCGGCAGCCGACACTGCGGCAGCGGCGGCGGCTGGCGTGGCGGCCCGTGCTGCTGTTGCCAATGCTGGCCAGGCGCCCGGGCAGCAGCCGGCGCGTCCCCAGCCGGCGCCGCAGCAGCCAGTCCAGCAGGCACAGCAGGCACAGCAGGCGCAGCAGGGCCACCTGGACCTGCTGTCCCTGCTCATGGAGGCCTCCAACCTGCCGGCAGCTGCTGCCGCGGGCCTGACTGCCGAGCTAGTGGGCGGCTTTTGGGCGGTGATGGTGACACTGTCCTTGGAGGAGCAAGCAGCGCGGGTGGGTGGCTGCTATGTGCTTGGTGTGCAACAGGTTTGATGCAGCCCCGACTGCAGCTGGCAGATGTGGTGCGCCTGCTCATGCAGCGTCTTTCGACCTCATTGTCTAATTAACGCTTCCGTTGCCTGCAGGGGGCGCCCCTGCGGCTGATGCTGGGCCAGGGCCAGCTCAGCGTGGCGGCTGAAATGATGCGGACGGCGCTGGAACTGGCCCGATCTGCTGTAGCGCCCGAATGAGCTATCGAGCAATCACGATGGGCAGGCGGGTGAAGCACTCAGGAGAAACAGCAGCCCTGCCAGTAGGACACTCATCTTCACATAGCCAGCCAGCAAAGATGCGCGCACACACAGTAGGGGCAGTGCTCGGGGATATCGTGTTGAAGGTGCATTTCCATCCATGGCACCTTGTGTAACACAAATGCAGAAAAAGAAGCGTGGTACGGTCCTGCTGAGAGCGCTGCGCCAGGGTCGCCGCCTCTTTGCAGCTAGGGTTTCCCCAGGACCGCGCTACTCAATCAGTATTGACACCGACGCACTGTGTTCATCTTGTACCAGCACCTCAGGGCGTCTCCCGGCCTGATCACCTCCATCCCGGTTCCCGCGCTTGGCGGCAGGCCGCAGACCCCGCATCTTGATTAATTTTTCAGGCTCTGGCAACTGCTTCAGTGCGGAATCCGGGGGCGAGGACGCCGGGCCTGCTTGTGGCGGCCGTGTCCGCCGCTCCGCTCGTTGCCGCACCTTTTGGCCGCCGTTTTTAAAAAGGCGGACAGGCGGGCATTGGCGGCATGCAGTGTGATGACGCCACTGCTCATGTTGCTAGTGGTGGCTTGGAGAAGTCCTGGACTGACCACGACGGCGCAGAGGCTGCGGTGGCGGCAGTGGCCGGCATGCTGGTGGCGGCGGTTGCAGACGCGGAGCAGCTGCACGTGGCTGGCGGTCTAGATAGCGGTCGAGGCGCTGAAAGAGATGTGCAAGGTGAAACAGCTCCGGTAATACCTGTGCCTTCGGGAGTGGCGTGCCTGTTCAGCTGGATGGAACCTTGAATCGGAAAGCCTTCTCAATTCCCTGCTGCGGTCCCCCTTCCTTGAGCACAGGCAGGAGCTCTACTTTGGAGCCGCCACCGCCCAAGCGGCAGTGCCCGGACCGGGCAGAGCCGGCAGCAGGGCTGCTCGAGACATCCATGCAGCAGGGACGCGCGTCTGTTGCTCTGCAGCGGCTACAGCAGGCACCAGTGACCCGAAGACTGGGCAGGCGGTTTGCCGCGGCACCAGGGGTGAAGATAGGGGGCCCCAGCCCTGCAGCAGCGGCTCGAGCGGCAGCGGCGGCGGCACAATGGGAGCCTGCCGCGCAGCAACAGAAGCAGGCAGGGGTGCCACACACCTCACCAGGGGGACCAATAGAGGGACCAGCAGCGGCGCAGGAGCAGCCACCTGTTCGGGCCACGCCGGCGGTGCCCATGGCTGATGGCCCGATCGCAGCGCACGCCTTGCCGGCACTGAGTCGCCCGGCTGAGTCGCCAGCTGTTCCTGTGTGGCTGCCAGTAGCCTTCCCTGCTGCTCTTGCTAGGGCACCTCAGCTGCCAGCACATGTGCCTGCTGCCATTGCTGTGGTGCCTTGGCCAAGGCCGCTCCCAGCGCTCCATCAGTGGCGCCCGTGGCTGACGCCTCTGCCGCAGCAGCAGGAACCGTGAACCCACGCTACGCAGGAGCAGCCAGCACAGCAGCAGGAGCAGCCAGCACCTCAATCGGTGCAGCAGACACAACAGCAGCAGCAGCTCCCTGTGCAGCAGCCGTTATTTTGGCCTTTGCCCCTGCTGCGGCAGCCACAGCAGGCTCTTTGGTCGGCGCCAGCACCGCCACAGTTGCCGCCGTTGCAGTCCCTGGTTCCTCCACAGCAGCCGCCACCTCAAGGCAAAGGTCCTGGCGGCATCGAGCTGGCAAGCGGGCGTTCACCAGCAGCAGCGCTGCCGCCACCAATGCAGCCAGCGGGTGGCCTGCCTGGAGCACGCGCAACAACCCCCTTCCCACACGTTTGCAGCAGCCCTCGCTCTGTTGGTGCGAAGGGGACCTGCGCGTTACTCTTTTGCCCCCAAACTTTCCACCCATGCCTGCCAGCTGACACGATCTCTGGCCGCCACGTGTGTGCAGGTGTTGATGGTGCATGGCTGGCTGGTACAGGCTGTTCTTGGGGCAGCAAGGGCAGGCGGCACATGCCCTCGTTAAGCGGTGACATGCCTGGTACTGCCGGCCCGACCCCTGCCAGCCTGCCGCCGCCAGGGGACACTGCGCGGCCCGCCTTCGGCCACCACCTGCTTGCAGGAACCCAGCCTCAGCAGGTGGTGCCGCAGCCGCCGCCGCTGCCCCACCCGCCGCAGTGCAGCAACTGTGGCGGCAGTGCAATCAGCCGGTCTGGGCGGCACCCGCTCACCAGGCAGCTCCTGTGCGAGACTTGCGCCTCATACAGGAGGCGCACAGGGCGGGACAGGCCTGCTGAGTTGATCGACGCCCACAGGCAAGCGCAAGCGGAGGGCCGTGGCAGGGGCATGCGCAGGAAGGCAGCCATTGCCGTGGAGCGGCAGGATTACAAGAAGGGCAAGCAGCAGCAGCAGCAGCAGCAGCAGCAGCAGCAGCAGCAGCAGGCGACAGGGGGAGCCGCTGCTGTGGCTGACCCCGTCAAGCCGCCGTCCCGGCGGCGAGCATCGCTTGGCGTGGCAGCAGCAGTGGCAGCGGTGGCAGGCACCAGTTCAGTGGAACACACAGTTGCTTCGGAGGGGCACCGCCGTGCCGGCTGTGGCACCAACAGCGGCAGGCATGCTTGGCAGCAGCAACCCCCATCTCACGAGATGCCATGCAGCAGCTGTGGAGCGCAAGGCAGCCAGATCGACAGGCAGCAGGGAGAGGGCCTGCATCTGAATGAAGGCGCAGCTGCGGCCCCATTGCCAGCAGCCAACGATGCACCGGAACCAGCACCAGCCGCCACGGCCTGTGGGCTAAGCAATGCCGCCGGCGGTGGCGCAGCAGCACAGGAGCCTGTGCCAGCAGTTGCGCAGCTTGCAGCAGCGCAGGAGCCTGCGCCAGCAGCGGCACCACTTGCAGCGGCGCAGCCGCCTGCTAGGCCTGGTGCGCAGCCAAGCAGTGTGCCATCCAACGCGCCGCCTTGCGCCATGGAGCAGGATATGAAGCTGGAGCCAGAACAAGGTGCAGGTGCGCCCCTGCACATCGCCTGCACATCGCCTGCCTGCCAGCCGGCTTGCCTAAGCTTGCAGGCACTCAGCGGTGGTGGGACTGGCCTCTCCTCCTGCTCCACATGCAGGCTGCCAGCCATGCTCCATCAAGCAGGAGCACCAGCCGATGGCAGCGCCGCCCCCAGCCACCGAGGCAGCCGAGCGCGGCCAGCAGCCGCAGCAGCCTGGGCAGCCTGCAACGGCGGCAGGCCCTCCCACCGAGGCGCCTGCCATCGAGCAAGAGGGATGGCGGGATGAGGGGATGGAGGCCGGGCCGGCGGCGCAGGCGGACCTCCCTGCAGCGGCAGCGGCACCTCTGGGCCTGGCTGCTGGTCCCACCAAGCAGCCGCGACTGGCTGCTGCAGCTGCTGCACCGAGTGATGCTGCTGCCTCGGTAGAGGCAGCCACCGTGGCAGCAGCTGGTGCAGCTGGCCACCGTGCCGCCGAGGCTGATGCCGCAGAGGTCTGCCCCGGCCCCGAAAACCAGGAGGCCGCCGCGGGCAGCGTGAGCAGCGATGCGAGCCAGCCCGGGCCGCCGCTGCCTCCTGGCGAGCAGCCGCCGGCGCAACCGCTGCAGCCCGAGCCGCCGCATTGGGCTGGGCTGGGACAGCGGCCGCGTGTGGAAAACCTGCTGCTCCTGTACCGCCGCATGGGGGAGCAGTCTCGACAGTGATCGCAGCTGGGACGGCAGTAGCAGCAGCAGCTGCTGCAGGGGGACGCTTCCGCTGGCGGTGGCGAGGAAGCTTCGGGAGCCTGTGCTGCCCAGCAGCAGGGCGCATGTGGTGCAGCCCGCCAGCACACGCCGGCATCTTGGCACGCCTCTGCTCGCGCCGCCACGCCAGCGGTTTGCACGCCAGAGGCGGCAGAAGCGGCACCAGGTGTTGCTGGCAATGCTGCGGCTGCTTCAGGCGCTGCAAGGGCTGCAGCCACCCCTGTGCCGGCAGCGACTGCGGCTGCGGAGGCAGCGCCCGGCCAGCAGGGAGGCCGGCAAGCGCCGCAGGACCTCTTCACCTTGCTGGTGGAGGCCTCCCAGCAGCCGGCCGCCGCCGCCGCGGGGCTCAGTCCTGACCTGGCTGGCTCCTTCTTTTCCCTGCTGGACGCGCTGCCACACGCTGCCAGGGCCAGCAAGGTGCGCCACAGGGCGGCCGCCCTGGAATGTGTTGCCTCACACCCTTCTTCACGCTGCAAGCTGGGCTTCACATGCGCGGGGCTCTGCGCTGCAGGAGGCTGGCGTGCGCCGCCTGCTGGTCCACCACCACTTTGCCGCCGCGGCATCCCTGATGGGCACCGCGCTGCGCCTTGCTGGCCTGGGCGCAGCAGGGGCTAACACATCAGCGGCAGCAACACCAGGCCCGGTGCGGGCTTCCTGTGGCGGGCAGGAGCAGCCTCAGCCTCAGCAGCAGCAAGGGCCGCAGGAGGAGGAGCAGGGAGGCGAGCAGGCACCCCATGACCTGTTCGGCGTGCTGCTGCACGCAGCACAGCAGCCAGCGGCCGCCGCCTCGGGGCTGACAGCCGACCTGGCGGCCTCATTTGTGGCGCTCATGCCGCGCCTTGCCAGCGAGGAGCAGGCCCAGAAGGTGATTGGGGCCGGATTGGGTGCCAGCTATTAACACTGGGGAAAACTTTGCTGCGGACAGGGAACAAGGAAACATGGAGCTCAGCGCTGCCCGCAATTCAATTCTGCCCCGCATTTGCTTTTGCAGGAGGACTTCCTGCGGCGCCTGATCCAGCGCCACCAGTACAGCGCGGCGGCGACGCTGGCTGCCACCACGCTGCGCCTGGCGGGCCTGACGCCGTGAGATGCGCTGTTGAAGTGGCTGGTGCTGGAAGCTGTGCAGGAACTTGCTTGGCCCTTGCATGTGTTGCCTCGTCTTATTCGTTGTTAGACAACTGCCTCACAGCAAAGCATGACACGATTTCCAGTAGCAGGAGGTCTTTCCTGGGAGACAACACACTCATTATTTTCAGCTCCTTAGGCCTGGCCCTCCTCCTGCACCGCCTGCCCTTCCTCCTCCTCGTCCGATGAAGCCCTTATCTCCTCGAGCACTGCAGCGGCCGGCAGGCACGATGTCCTTCTGATAAAAAGATATGGAAAAAGAAATAAAATAGCGAGGGCACAGGCGGACCTTTCCCTCCAGTCTCCCCCTCCCTCATGCCGCCCACCTTTGATGTACGATGTTCTGTCCGCCTCATCCTCGCTGCCAGGCTCCTCCTGGCCGGGAGCTCGGTCGGCCGGATCGGTGGCCAGCGCGGCCTCCTCATCCGAAACGCCGCGCTCCTGCCCAGCCCTGCCAGAGCCCGCCTGGTACTCCGGCTGCTCCACTGGCGGGACCGTCGGCACGCTTGCGGCTGGTGGCGGGCCGCCGCCAGCTTCCTCGCTGCTGCCGGGTTTCTCCTCGTGCGGCGACTCCTACAATTCAGCACAATGCAATGGGGATGCCAGCGCCGCATACCATGTGCGGCCAAGACTCTCTGACACCGCCTTGGCACCTGCCCCGCCCCGCCACCCGATACCTTGGACCCACCTTGTGCGCCTGTGCTCTGCCCACGGCGCCGCGGCAGGGCGTGTGTGCAGCCGTGTGGCGGCCCTGGCGGCAGGCTCCAGCAGCGTGAGTGGGCCGCCTGGTGCTGGGCACCAAGGGGCGCCCTGCAGGTGCTGAGAGCAGCAGTGCCTGCATGCTGCTGCGTTTGGGCTGGAACAGGTGAACAAGAGACCACTCTTGAACGCTTAGCACTATGGGTGTGTTCCATTCTTTCCAAGCAAATGGTTGTTGCAAAGGCTTCAGATCACGCACAGGTTCAAAATCACGCAGGTTCACGCTACATTAGCCAGTTCACAGTCTCAAGCGTGCACGCTGCTGGGCGCGCGCAGGCGGGTGGCGGCGCCGGATGGTGGCAGGGTGTTGCCTGGCGCCCTGCCGGCGCTGGGCCTGGGCAGCAGGGTGGCCTGGCTGCCAGCGCCATCATTAGTCACAGAAGGAGGAGCACTCGGCTGGCAAGCTGCGACTGCAGCGGAGCCACCGGGGCAGCGGGCGAGGCCCGAGGGAGGAGCCCTCTGCCCTCCTGCCGGGAAGCCCACGTTGGCGCTCCTGGGCTGCAGGGCTGGCGCCGCCATTCCGCAGCGTTCTCCACCAGCCCGGCCCTGCTGTGCCGCCGCTGGCAGCGCCGCATCTGCGGCAGAGCCGCCGGCAGCAGGCCCGCCCCGCGGCGGCGGCGGCGGCCGGCGAGGCAGCATGCGGCGTGCGCCCTCCGCCCGCCGCACCATGCCCGTCACCATGCGGCCGTAGGCAGTGCCTTCCCCGCCGCTCTGGGCCAGGTAGAGGGACACCAGGGCGCCGTTGGCCACCTGCAGGCGCCGCCACAGCCTCTCCTCCTCCTGTGTGTGTGCCCTTGCAGATCGGGCAGCTGGGCATGTGCGGGCACCCCCCCGC